AAAAATTGGCCGAAGCGATTTCCTTTAAAATTGGTACACGCTTAGCTATTGTAATGAGGAGTTGATTAAAATTATTCCCATTCAAATCCGCTGCCTCGGATGCCCGCAAGAGCGAAAAGTTATTTGTCCATATAGTATTACATTGGAGATACGCGGTTGTTTAGGTTTACGCGCATCGCGCCGAACAGGTTCAATCCTGTTGCGTGACGTCACTGCCTTATAGACGAAATTTAAGGTTTTAGGAGGTATTTTTCGACGAATGTTTGTGGAAATTGGTAACCGGGGGTATTTTTCAACGGGGATCGCGAATTTTTGGTCGGATTTTCAAAATCTCAAAATCCAAGATGGCGGCCGTGGCCTAAAATGCTAAGTCGGCTCCTGTTTGATCGATTTTCGTGAAACTAGGTATCCACGGGTATTTTTCGACGAGAAACTCGAATTTTTGGTCAGATTTTCAAAATTTCCAAATCCAAGATGGCGGCCGAGGCCTAAAATGCTAAGTCGGCTCCTGTTTGATCGATTTTCGTGAAACTAGGTATCCAGGGGTACTTTTCGACGAGGAACTCGAATTTTTGGTCAGATTTTCAAAATTTCCAAATCCAAGATGGCGGCCGTGGCCTAAAATGCTAAGTCGGCTCCTGTTTGATCGATTTTTGTGAAAGTCGGTATTAGGGGGTATATTTCGACGGGAAATTAGAATTTAAGGTGCGATTTTTAAAATTCAAAAATCCAAGATGACGAACGTGGTCTAAATTGCTATCTTGGCTTCCGATCCATCGATTTTTGTGAAATTCGGTATTAGGAGGTGTATTTCGACGGAACACTCGCATTTTTGGTCAGATTTTCAACATTTCCAAATCCAAGATGGCGGCCCCGCACGAAAACGCGGTCCGGACTCCTAGAACATCAATATCTGTAAAACTTGGTGAAAAAGAAGATTAAGACATAGATGTTGTCTCCTCATCAATGTTAAAAACCGTGCAGGGCGGTGGCGGCTCGCGGAGCGAGTCGCAAGTTCGTCGCGAAGCGTAGAACTGGGGTCCAGGGGCACTCCCCGGCTAGACGTGTCAGCTCGCAAAGCGAGCTAATCACGACTAGTTGTTTATATACCCCGCTCTCAGATACTGTAGGCGAAGCCCTTGACCGCTTGGCTTCTGGTGAAGATTTAAGTAGAGGTGGCTAATGTAACATTTATCCTCGTGGGTGAGGCCAGGCAATTAACATTCAACATCAGCTGTAAATTGGCGGAGCCAGATTGAACCTCTTGAATAAAACTTTCTAATTAATGCCGCTTCAAATGCACCGATGAAAAGGAGGAAAAACAGAGTCGTATTGACACTTCCAACCTTCAATGATTTCATATGAAATGAAAAAACTTACTTTCTTTTGTTTGGCGGGACTCATAAGCGAGCTTGAGTTTTTCCTGTCTGGAAACTCTCTCTAGGGCGCGCGCTTTCTTCTCGTCTGCTCTCCTCTCCTCTGCTGCAAGAATAGTATCCTCCACTGTAGATATTATGCATTCTCGTTCAGGTTTTCGGTGAAGAATTAAAAATGCTTTATCCTCTTCGTTTTCCATGATATCTAGAGCATTGCATAAAGAAATGTTGAATAACGCTAACGTAGATACGCCAAGACGGACAAAATTTTCGTCCATAGGACCGTAACTTGCAATTTTCCTTCAGAATTGATATGTCGCTTACCAAAATTTTTGAATTTTGGGTTTAGGCCCTTTGAGGCACGGGTTAAAATTTTTTTAGAATTCTTTTCCTTTTAGGGGGCTCATTTAGAGACTACATAGAAGCTTTTTAGGGGTTGACCGACTTGATTTTCGCAAAACTCAAAAATAAGGTACACCCTACCTCTCGTCCCTCCCGGACTCTATTGTTGCCCGATAAGTACTTTTTTAGCACTTTTCCCAATTCAAATCCGTGTAAAATATTCACATTTATCGCACAATCTGGCAACCTCTCAAGTGAAATAGAAAAGGATGGAATTGACTGAAAATCTGAATCCTTCGAAGTATATATTAATGGTAATTCTGAATTTCAATTTGAAACTTCTCTGGAAACTTTTTAAAATTTTTAATTTTAAGCTAAGTTTCTTAAATTCTTATGGTTCTAGCTCAGTTTTTAATGTTTTCAAGTTAGGTACCTGGGCAGTGAGTTAGTTAATAGCGCCTTCAGGAGGAGGAGGAAGGGGGCAATAGTTGAAGAAAAGCATGAACATTTTATTAGATAAAAACTTACAGAGTTGATCGAACCACAAGTAGGTCTTCATGCAAATTTGTTTCAGGTCATCTCTTCTTGAAAGGCACCACTAAGATGTCAAAGTCTCTGGAAAACACCATAGATGTTGATGAATGTTTAGAGAAATACACGCCTAATGATTTTCGTTTCATGTGTCTACTATCACGGTACCGCAACAGTAAGTAACTTTATAACGATTTTGCATAAATTGTAGGAATCAGGATTACTTAATACAAGTTCCATTACTTTTTAATCTTTGATCTGTTTATATAGCTTTGCAGCAGCAAGAAATCGGAATCATAATAATTTAGAATCCTATCATGCCTTGTGTCTGAGATTATAAGAAATCAATGTATGAAGTCTCTACGTATGTTATGCAACTTTTGTTAGGAAAGAGTGGAAAAAAGTATGGTAGAGATGGAACTTCTAGGCCGTAGGATGTCTAAAAAGTTTTTTTGACTTTTGTATACCAAGTGTTTACTTTCCCTGCAGGGTGTCTACTGAAGTTTATGTTACGGAGAGAAAGATACCTACTTCTTCCCCTCCCTCCACAGTCAACCGCTTTCGCAACCCATCTCTCTTTGGTGCCTCCCCCCGCTCCCTGTGCCCCCTCTAATCCAGGAAGCGGGCCCGTTCCCAAGCTTATAACTCCCGTGGCCTCTATTTGTCCCACCACACGCTCGGCTTCTTCCAATCTCGCCCTTCCTTGTTTAGGTATCACGCCTTTCTGCGGATTTTGCTGTTCTCTCTTTGATTCTAGTTTCCCTCCAAATTTTCGTCTTTCAATTTTGGTGGGGTTTGCGACCTGAGTCAGTCAAAATCGAGTCACTCAGGGCTTCTCAAATAAGTGTGCTCACTCTTGCTCTTGCGATGCATGAATGTGGTCAGTTTAGGTCCCTCAGAGATTTTTAATTTGCTCCCTTCTTCCATTCTTGTCTGTTCACCACCACTGACACCGGACTGTCTACTTTGCCCATCCGAGGTAGAAATAGTGTTTGCATCCTGATTCATCCTTGCCAAGTCGTCGACCGCCCGCGGCACAGGACTATTGGCGCAAGCAGGTGCAACGTAGGAATGGAATTGACTCATTGAGTCCATTCCCCCCGCCGCACAGTGGGAAAAAACAGACCTTAGGGCGGCGTAAAATCTGTAACTCGGAGGGAAATGCATATTTTTGTTTGAAATTTTGCTCAGATCTTCTTGAGGATATGCTTAGGCCGCATACGAAAGATCAGAAATTTTGACTCTCGTTTTTGGCCTGAAAATGGCGAATTGTTAAAAATACCCGAGGTTAGCATCTTCCTCCAAAATTTTAATTTGGCAAGTGAGGTATCGATTCTTGCGTAATTTTATTCTTAGAACTCGAATTTTTTATTGAAAATTCGATACAACCCACTGGATGAGCCAAATTTGAAAAAGAGGCCATTTTGAGGCAAATTTAGGGCACAAATGTGTGTATCCAACAGATTTCAACGAGTGAGGTATGGTTTCATGGGTTACTTTCGTCACACATATCTATCTACGACTAGAACACTACGCAAAATCATCCTCAGAAGTCTAATTTGGAATTTTGGCGCCAAAAATGGGCCTATTTGGGCCTAAAAATGGAAATTCGTCTATACAGCCGTGTAAGGTATCGATTTCATGGTACCTTTGGACAAAAATTACGAATTGGTTTGGTTAAAATTACATGAAAATCAAAATTTGGCCTATTTTACCAAACTTAAATGGTGCCAAAATTTGATTCATACTTAATGCTGAAAACCGTAATAAATCTCTTTTAGGCGGATAAGTAACGAATATCATCCAATGCCACCTTCGAATACACACATGTCTAAAGTAGAAATCACCTTTCAACTAAAAAACTCAACATTTCTTGCTTACGGCTGCTTACCGACTTTTTATGAGCCAAAATTGGGGCAAAAACAGATCATTTAAGGCAAAAATTGACTGGATAAACTTACCAGGGCAAATGAGTCAACAATCAAATAGTAATTTTGGACAATTCTCCTAGGTTTTGAATGAAAAATTTTGAAAAATTAACACGTGAGTCCGTTAGTCCCATTCAAGTCCCTAGAAGATCCAAAATATGCCCATAAAATGGCCAATTTGGGCCTAAAACATGAAATTCGTCAATATAGCCGTGTAGGTTATTGATTCTATGGTATTTTCAGACACAAGTTACAAATTTTGAGTTTAAATTACATGAAAATCAAAAATTGGCCTATTTTACTAAACTCGAATGGTGCCAAAATTTGATTCATAATGCGGAATCCTAATAAATCACTTTTAGACGGATAACAGCGCTCAACATGGGTTCTGTCCTTCGAACCAAACCAATTTTTTTCGACTCCTAGGTGCTAAAAAAGTTCGAAAATGCCCATATTAACTTCAGAAAAATGGTCTGGTGCTCAGAACGCCGCCATTTTGAATTTTTCAAAATTGAGAAAACCCACGACTAGAAAAAAAGCGTATTTTTGCTGATTTCAGGAGAAACTTAGCTTCATATCTCCAGCCACGATAATTTGAGGAAAAAACTGTTATGCTCACTGAAAAGTGCGTAAAATTTACTTCCAGATATCATATGTCAATAGTTCCTGAACTTGATTCAATCTTGTAAAACAGCAGGTTATTAGCTCCGCTCTTAATAGTGCAGTGCAAAATCAAAAATTTTGCGCTCTAATGAGCACCAGTACAAAACTTACCGTCTTGCAGTACAAAACTTGTACTTCGAACTTGTGCTTTAATGCCGTCTTGGATTTTGCAAGATTTTCAGTTGGGTTCACTGACGAGTGTGACCTACTGATAAGGTATAAATAGACCCAAAATTATAGATATCTTGACGTGACCTGAACTTAATATTCCAATGCAAACTGCCTGAGCTGAACACCCTCCTCTATCAGTTTTGTACTGATCCTCATTATAGCTTAAAGTTTTTGAACTTTTTGGCTTCCCCCCCCCCCATCCACCCCAAATAGTGTGGGCACTGCACTATTTTACCACCTTGTTACAAAGTGTGGGAAACGTTTTTAGGTTTTTTCTTCTTTTGTTATTGATTTAAAGGAGATGGTCGACAAAATATGTCAGCTGAAACAGCAGTTTATTAGATCCGTCCTTAAATTGTGATTGTGAAAGTGACCTTGTGGGTCTGGATCCTATACGAAAAAAGGGTACCCGGGTCCCAGGAGGCGTGAAGACAAAAGAAAACAAAACTAGAACGTAAACTAACTCCTCCGAAACGGAAACGTTCCAGATGTGTTCACGCATAAGATAGTTATCCTGCAACGGATGCATGGCGATACAAAATTTGTAGAGTTTTCCAACGCGCGACGCTAAATTCCTTCCATCTCTTTCGCACCCTCGCCCGCAATCGCCCTAATGGAAAAAAAAACATATCTGAAGCTCTTTGCTGTTCTCCAGCGCCCAACGTCGAATTCATTCCATTTCCCTCGCATTCTCTCTTTTACATATTGCTCTTGCAAAAAAAGCGACGGCTCCCGGCCGCAATAGACCGTTTTAGTGATGACGTCACATTTCGAGATATATCGCGATTTTAGGCCTGGTGCCCTAACCGGTATTCGGTCGGTTCGATTTACATGGAATTCCCCATAAAGAACGGAAAGTCAATTTTCAAACACTGATTCTGGGTGGTTTCAGACAGTCTCTGCCGGATTTTCTTGCGATTATGAGTTCTTTATATCCTCAACTGTACGTTTCTACCTGGTGAATCCTCAATATCGCATCGGATAAATTAGTTATACTCAATGTATTGAAGCAAGTCCCGAAAGTGAGGCTATGTTACCCCTTTGTTTAAATTCTAATTTTGGACTCTATCCATCACTAATGTATGAGATAAAACAATTCTGCACGGCTCTTGCGTAAGTTTTTCTCGTAGATTCTATCTTTAACGACAAAACCTAAACATCTGCAGTTAATTAGTTGAATATTGGACACCAATATTTGTTTTCTCCCTTTCTAAATAGTTGCGCTTCATTCGTTCCAGCCAAAAATCACTCAGTTTTGTTTCATATCATCCATAATTTTCCTCCTAAACATTCCAATTCATAGGTGGTATTGTTTAAATCAATTTCAGTTGATACCTTCATAGGAAAGTTGACACTATGTTCCAGGTAATAACCGTTAGCATACAATGACGCTGTGGAGGAGTTGTCTCCGTTTGATCCTATCGATGTCGATAAGATTTTGAAGGTACTTCACCGATAACATTCGACTTCTCAAACACTGACATTGAGAGGCACTTATTGGCGTAAGCTCAGTAAAGGTATATTACGGTAATAGGCATTCATTAGAATCTTCTTATAACATCTAGAGAAAGGTAAGTATCCATAGCGGTGAGCGGATTGTCCAACTACAGCTTTACTCATCCCCACATGATGTCCACACATATACAGGGTTGTCTGAAAGTCACCTACCATCCCTGTAACTTTTTTCCTAATTGAGATAGAAGTTTGAAACTTTGGGAATGATCCTCGGTTTGTGGTAGAAACTTTTTGGTCCCCCCAAAATTTTGGGGGGCGGCCCCCTCTAAGGGGGGGCGGGGGCTAACTTTTTTTTTCAAATGGCAACCCCCCCCCCTTTGTGATACCTCATTCGAAAGATAATACAAAAAGAAAATTGTTGGCGCAAACCGCAGGTCAAAATGTTGATTTTTGACAAAATGGCGGCCGGTCAAAGTTCAAAATGGCGGAAATTTGGCATCTCCGTTTTTTATCGGCGGATTGGTCTGAAACCCAGAATCCTCGGGTTTTTTGGGGCGAGAAAAACTATTCTGGCATTAATTTTCCGGAAATGTCAGTCCTTTTCAAAATGGCGGCGGTTAAAATGGCGGCTTAGAGCGGGAAGTGGATATTCAGGCTGCTTATCGTCGGATTTGTATGAGACTTGGTCTCCGGGGGTATTTCGGCACAAGAAGTACGAATCCTTCATTGGATTTTTGAAATTTTTAAATACTTTAAAATGGTGGCAAAAATGCGAATGGCGATGGTGGATACGGCTTTTCCGTTATTTTTCCGCCACCATTTTGACGATATTCAGTGTTTGAAAAATTTAATGAAAGATTAATTTTTTTCGAGCTAAAAACCACCAGAGTATTGACTTTTGTGCAAATCCATCGGTTAATAGCCGTGATATAGATTTTCCGTCATTTTTTCGTCACCA